TACCTCACTGACTTCACTTACAGGCTATTATACCTCACTGACTTCATTTACAGGCTACTATACCTCACTGACTTCATTTACAGGCTACTATACCTCACTGACTTCACTTACAGGCTACTATACCTCACTGACTTCACTTACAGGCTACTATACCTCACTGACTTCACTTACAGGCTATAATACCTCACTGACTTCACTTACAGACTATAATACCTCATTGATTTCCCTTACAGGCTATAATACGTCACTGACTTCACTTACAGACTATAATACCTCATTGATTTCCCTTACAGGCTATAATACGTCACTGACTTTACTTACAGGCTACTATACCTCACTGACCTCACAGACTACATTTGTTATGAATAACTTTTAACACGGAGCTTTCTGTTAATAATAGATTGTGAAGTACCGTTTAAGAAATATTTAGTGCAGTGTAAAACAGGTGGGTCCTTTCTGGTACCTGGACGGAAGCTTTACAAGAGTTCATGAACCAGCTTTTGTAATCTCTTATTGAGGCCTCTTTTTATAATTTTTAAAACTTTTTTTCTGCTATAGAAGAAGTCATTCATTTATACAATCATTTAATCATTTATGGCATATGCACATATTTTCAGTCTGGCTTTAAACCGTTAATTAGCATTATATATCGTTGTTTTTATCGTCCACTCCACACAACACCGGTCACAACGTCATCACAACACCCGCTCAACACCTTCGCAACACAACTACAATTTCAGCAGTTGATTGACGGTTGAGAGGCAGTTGAGAGGCGAGACCAACGAGCCAAAGCTCGACCCCGCAAGCACAACTAGGTGAGTACAACACCCACCCAACTACGCAACACCCACCCAACTACGCAACACCCACCCAACTACGCAACACCCACCCAACTACGCAACACCCACCCAACTACGCAACACCCACCCAACTACGCAACACCCCACCCAACTACGCAACACCCACCCAACTACGCAACACCCACCCAACTACGCAACACCCACCCAACTACGCAACACCCCACCCAACTACGCAACACCCCACCCAACTACGCAACACCCACCCAGCCACTCAAAAACCAACCACACAACACCCACCCAACCACTCAAATAACCACTCATAAAGCGCTACCTTGTTGTAGTGAGTGGAGAGCATATATCAACGTTATTGAGCTCGTTTCAGTGGGGGGTTTGCAACTTTTCTGGACAAAGGATATTAAATAGACTAAGACTTAATCATCCTCATGAAATAGGTCTCCGTGTCCTAATGGGCGTCATGGCTACCTAACTTCCGGGTTCCCTCTTAATGTTGGAGAATTGAGCCGAGAATATAAACGTTACCAAAATACTAAATAAATATTAGTTTATACCGCTCCAGATAAATTCAATCGACCAGTCAATTATACACTGATATGCATATTTCTTCGTAAATAAAATTACATAATTTTAGACCAATCAAATACCTATATATATATATATATATGTCGTACCTAGTAGCCAGAACTCACTTCTCAGCCTACTATGCAAGGGCCGATTTGCCTAATAAGCCAAGTTTTCCTGAATTAAAATATTTTCTCTAATTTTTTTCTTGTGAATTGATAAAGCTTCTCATTTCATTATGTATGAGGTCAATTTTTTTTTATTGGAGTTAAAATTTACGTAGATATATGACCGAACCTAACCAACCCTACCTAACCTAACCTAACCTATCTCTATAGGTTAGGTTGGGTTAGGTAGCCGAAAAAGTTAGGTTAGGTTAGGTAGGTTTGGTAGTCGAAAAATAATTAATTCATGAAAACTTGGCTTATTAGGCAAATCGGGCCTTGCATAGTAGGCTGAGAAGTGAGTTCTGGCTACTAGGTACGACATATATATATATATATATATATATATATATATATATATATATATATATATATATATATATAACTGAAAACTCACACCCCAGAAGTAGGGGGGGGTGTGAGTTTTCAGTTGTATATAGTCCTGGGGACCATTCAGGCTTGTTTGCATATATATATATATATATATATATATATATATATATATATATATATATATATATATATATATATATATATATAAAAGATTAATGTATAAATATTTAGGAGTAAAATATTGTATAAATATCAATATTGCCAATTTTGTTGTGAAAGCACTCGTTCTAATCTCACTTATAATATCCGTCTATAATCAGGTACCATAGTGTAGAGGTTATGGAGTTATACATCCTGTCAGAGCTTCAAATGGTTGGAGTCTCCACTTGGATTGGACGGTAGAGCGATGGTTTCCTTTCATGCGGGTCGGCGTTCAATGGTTGGGCACCATTCCTTCGCGATCCCGTCCCATCCCAACTCCTTATCCTGACTCCTTCCAAGGGATATTTAGTCATAATGGGTTGGCGCTTTCCCTTGATAGTTCCTTTTCCTTCCCTTCCCTTCCCTTCCCTTCCCTTCCCTTCCCTGCTGTGTAGTTCCAGGCTGCCGAGTACCCAATACTGTAGGTCAGGAAACTATTTCTTTCAGGGGGGACAAAAAGAGCGTATTGAGTCGAGTGCATTCTGATTACTTCTCAAGTTCTTGCAAGATTATCACAGGAACAATTCACTCCGTGTTTTACAACGTCAGAATTGCCTTAAACCATTGGGGGGTAACAGCAAGCTGGTTTACACCCGATAATTAGGTGCCGTTTTGGCTTAATCAGTTTAGAGGAGGACAAGACTGTATCCAGTCGTCGTGGTCTTCGGTAAGGTAAGTTCAGGGGCCAGGGTAAATCACGCATTTCAGCATCTACCTACGAAACCTCTGCATCTTTTCTCAGTCACGGCGCTTTTGTTTACAGTCATTAAACAGTTTATGAACTTTCAGGCACTATATCAGGTTGTTAATGGCAATAATAACCTTGCGTTGTGAGGAGTTCGAAGCTCGTGAATAACTTACTAAATGTAAACATATCCATCATGATTGTTGAGTGACGTACAGGTGTCGAGAGAGGATGCGTAAATGTTTGGCGAATCCTGGTTAGGAGGTCGCAACCTTGCCCTGGTGTTGACAGAAGAGTGGCGGGGTCACTCACGCTCCACCAACCAGAATCAAGTATCACCACGAGATCAGACGATAGAAAGATGATACCCGGCTCCAGCTTTCTTGCCAGGCTTCCTCTTTGCTTAAGAAGTTGGCGGTGGTTTGCGACTGTGATGGTGATAGGGTGGGGGAGGAGGAGGAAGGGGGGGAGATAGGTAAATATCACGGTGGAGAAGCTGCTGCTTGTAATTATCATGTTAATTAACAGGTAAGATCATGATGAACGGGTTGAGAGCGGTGGTGGATCAGGAGTGATCTATAAGAAAACTTCTTGTGGTAGTTTGAGGAGATTCAGTTCTCGTGGTTATGTGGAGTGACTCTAACTACCATCGTGGGGTCATTAGTTGACCTCTGGCACCTCGGCTACCTGCAAGATGAGCTAAACACGAAGAATGTAATCTTTACAACTCACTGGTTGGCTTCTTAAGTGATGGGACCAAGTCTTGATTGAGTCTTAACCTGCTAGACGAGATCATTCCTGTCTAACACTCCACACCCTTACACTTATTCCTTCCCTCTCCACCCTACTCTTTCCCCTTTCTTCCCCTCCCCCTTCTCTCTCTCTTTCTCCTCCCTCCCCTTCCCCCATCATTCCTCTCCCCCTTCTCCCCTTTCCCCATCCCTCCAGTTGCCGTCCTCTTGAATATCAACACTGTTAGAACACTCTCACAGGACCTCCCTGTCCCTTCACACAGGACCTCCCTGTCCCTTCACACAGGACCTCCCTGTCCCTTCACACAGGACCTCCCTGTCCCTTCACACAGGACCTCCCTGTCCCTTCACACAGGACCTCCCTGTCCCTTCACACAGGACCTCCCTGTCCCTTCACACAATACCTCCCTGTCCCTTCACACAGGACCTCCCTGTCCCTTCACACAGGACCTCCCTGTCCCTTCACACAGGACCTCCCTGTCCCTTCACACAGGACCTCCCTGTCCCTTCACACAGGACCTCCCTGTCTCTTCACACAGGACCTCCCTGTTCCTTCACAGACCTACACAAGGTGTCGATTAAAGGGGTTTAATCGACACAAGGTTTCGAGATTATATCCATAGCAACACAGGGTGTAGAGTTCTGGTCCTTGGCAACACAGGATGTAGAGTTCTGGTCCTTGGCAACACAGGATGTAGAGTTCTGGTCCTTGGCAACACAGGATGTAGAGTTCTGGTCCTTGGCAACACAGGATGTAGAGTTCTGGTCCTTGGCAACACAGGATGTAGAGTTCTGGTCCTTGGCAACACAGGTTGTAGAGTTCTGGTCCTTGGCAACAGAGGGTGTTGCGTTTCAGTCCTAAGACACATAGGGTGTTGATTTTCTGATCTTTGACAACATTTTGTGTTTCATTTCAATTGTTGTTCTAAATAGTAAAAGTTATTTAGTCAATATATGGTGGTTTAACCTGTGTTAACTCGTCGAATTTTTAACCGATTGGTCGATTCCGTAAAAAAAAAATCGACGTGTTATAGATGTCGCTGTATGACAAAGTTGTGTAGAATTAAGAGTCCTGTAAGTACTATATGGTTTCCGTTGTCGACTCACAATCGAGAATCCCGGGTTCGGTTCCTAGGCGGGAACTAAAGTGGTTGGGCACGTTTCCTTTCATCCAATGCCTTGCCCCACTGTTCCCCTAATAGTAAATAGGTACCTGGGAGTTATATAGGGGGTTATATGTATTGAGTTACGTATATGTATTATATGTATTGAGTTATATGTATTGTTATATGTATTGAGTTATATATGTATTATATATAGATCTTGAGGGGGTTAAATTCACACGGCTTCAACCCCCTGTTCCTCAAGTGCTGTAGAAGTCAGTATAGATGTTCTCGGAAAGTGGACTATAAATAGAAATCTATAAGCATAGATTTAAAAAAAAAAAGTTTGAAGGCAAAATAATGTCAAAACACTGGATAAAACTTCAGTAAGACACCCTGTGTAGCCAAGGATTAAAACTCGACACCCTGTGTAGCCAAGGATTAAAACTCGACACCCTGTGTAGCCAAGGATTAAAACTCGACACCCTGTGTAGCCAAGGATTAAAACTCGACACCCTGTGTAGCCAAGGATTAAAACTCGACACCCTGTGTAGCCAAGGATTAAAACTCGACACCCTGTGTAGCCAAGGATTAAAACTCGACACCCTGTGTAGCCAAGGACCAAAACTCGACACCCTGTGTAGCCAAGGATCAAAACTCGACACCCTGTGTAGCCAAGGATCAAAACTCGACACCCTGTGTAGCCAAGGATCAAAACTCGACACCCTGTGTAGCCAAGGATCAAAACTCGACACCCTGTGTAGCCAAGGATTAAAACTCGACACCCTGTGTAGCCAAGGATCAAAACTCGACACCCTGTGTAGCCAAGGATCAAAACTCGACACCCTGTGTAGCCAAGGATTAAAACTCGACACCCTGTGGTGCCAAGGATCAAAACTCGACACCCTGTGTAGCCAAGGATCAAAACTCGACACCCTGTGGTGCCAAGGATCAAAACTCGACACCCTGTGTAGCCAAGGATTAAAACTCGACACCCTGTGTAGCCAAGGATTAAAACTCGACACCCTGTGTAGCCAAGGATCAAAACTCGACACCCTGTGTAGCCAAGGATCAAAACTCGACACCCTGTGTAGCCAAGGATTAAAACTCGACACCCTGTGTAGCCAAGGATTAAAACTCGACACCCTGTGTAGCCAAGGATTAAAACTCGACACCCTGTGTAGCCAAGGATTAAAACTCGACACCCTGTGTAGCCAAGGATTAAAACTCGACACCCTGTGTAGCCAAGGATTAAAACTCGACACCCTGTGTAGCCAAGGACTAAAACTCGACACCCTGTGTAGCCAAGGATCAAAACTCGACACCCTGTGTAGCCAAGGATCAAAACTCGACACCCTGTGTAGCCAAGGACTAAAACTCGACACCCTGTGTAGCCAAGGATTAAAACTCGACACCCTGTGTAGCCAAGGATTAAAACTCGACACCCTGTGTAGCCAAGGACTAAAACTCGACACCCTGTGTAGCCAAGGATCAAAACTCGACACCCTGTGTAGCCAAGGATCAAAACTCGACACCCTGTGTAGCCAAGGACTAAAACTCGACACCCTGTGTAGCCAAGGATTAAAACTCGACACCCTGTGTAGCCAAGGATTAAAACTCGACACCCTGTGTAGCCAAGGATCAAAACTCGACACCCTGTGTAGCCAAGGATCAAAACTCGACACCCTGTGTAGCAAAGGACTAAAACTCGACACCCTGTGTAGCCAAGGATTAAAACTCGACACCCTGTGTAGCCAAGGACTAAAACTCGACACCCTGTGTAGCCAAGGATCAAAACTCGACACCCTGTGTAGCCAAGGACTAAAACTCGACACCCTGTGTAGCCAAGGATCAAAACTCGACACCCTGTGTAGCCAAGGATTAAAACTCGACACCCTGTGTAGCCAAGGATTAAAACTCGACACCCTGTGTAGCCAAGGATTAAAACTCGACACCCTGTGTAGCCAAGGACTAAAACTCGACACCCTGTGTAGCCAAGGATCAAAACTCGACACCCTGTGTAGCCAAGGACTAAAACTCGACACCCTGTGTAGCCAAGGATCAAAACTCGACACCCTGTGTAGCCAAGGATTAAAACTCGACACCCTGTGTAGCCAAGGATTAAAACTCGACACCCTGTGTAGCCAAGGATTAAAACTCGACACCCTGTGTAGCCAAGGATTAAAACTCGACACCCTGTGGTGCCAAGGATTAAAACTCGACACCCTGTGTAGCCAAGGACTAAAACTCGACACCCTGTGTAGCCAAGGATTAAAACTCGACACCCTGTGTAGCCAAGGATCAAAACTCGACACCCTGTGTAGCCAAGGACTAAAACTCGACACCCTGTGTAGCCAAGGATTAAAACTCGACACCCTGTGTAGCCAAGGATCAAAACTCGACACCCTGTGTAGCCAAGGATCAAAACTCGACACCCTGTGTAGCCAAGGATTAAAACTCGACACCCTGTGGTGCCAAGGATTAAAACTCGACACCCTGTGTAGCCAAGGACCAAAACTCGACACCCTGTGTAGCCAAGGATTAAAACTCGACACCCTGTGGTGCCAAGGATTAAAACTCGACACCCTGTGTAGCCAAGGACCAAAACTCGACACCCTGTGGTGCCAAGGACTAAAACTCGACACCCTGTGGTGCCAAGGATTAAAACTCGACACCCTGTGTAGCCAAGGACCAAAACTCGACACCCTGTGGTGCCAAGGACTAAAACTCGACACCCTGTGTAGCCAAGGATTAAAACTCGACACCCTGTGTAGCCAAGGATCAAAACTCGACACCCTGTGGTGCCAAGGACTAAAACTCGACACCCTGTGTAGCCAAGGATCAAAACTCGACACCCTGTGTAGCCAAGGATCAAAACTCGACACCCTGTGTAGCCAAGGATCAAAACTCGACACCCTGTGTAGCCAAGGATTAAAACTCGACACCCTGTGGTGCCAAGGATTAAAACTCGACACCCTGTGTAGCCAAGGACCAAAACTCGACACCCTGTGGTGCCAAGGACTAAAACTCGACACCCTGTGGTGCCAAGGATTAAAACTCGACACCCTGTGTAGCCAAGGACCAAAACTCGACACCCTGTGGTGCCAAGGACTAAAACTCGACACCCTGTGTAGCCAAGGATTAAAACTCGACACCCTGTGTAGCCAAGGATTAAAACTCGACACCCTGTGTAGCCAAGGATTAAAACTCGACACCCTGTGTAGCCAAGGATCAAAACTCGACACCCTGTGTAGCCAAGGATTAAAACTCGACACCCTGTGTAGCCAAGGATCAAAACTCGACACCCTGTGGTGCCAAGGACTAAAACTCGACACCCTGTGTAGCCAAGGATTAAAACTCGACACCCTGTGGTGCCAAGGACTAAAACTCGACACCCTGTGTAGCCAAGGATCAAAACTCGACACCCTGTGTAGCCAAGGATCAAAACTCGACACCCTGTGTAGCCAAGGATCAAAACTCGACACCCTGTGTAGCCAAAGATCAAAACTCGACACCCTGTGTAGCCAAAGATCAAAACTCGACACCCTGTGTAGCCAAGGACCAAAACTCGACACCCTGTGTAGCCAAGGATCAAAACTCGACACCCTGTGTAGCCAAGGATTAAAACTCGACACCCTGTGTAGCCAAGGATTAAAACTCGACACCCTGTGTAGCCAAAGATTAAAACTCGACACCCTGTGTAGCCAAGGATTAAAACTCGACACCCTGTGTAGCCAAGGATTAAAACTCGACACCCTGTGTAGCCAAGGATTAAAACTCGACACCCTGTGTAGCCAAGGATTAAAACTCGACACCCTGTGTAGCCAAGGATCAAAACTCGACACCCTGTGTAGCCAAAGATCAAAACTCGACACCCTGTTTTGCAACCCGTATTCAGACTAGGCAGGCTGGGGCAGACATGATAACGACATACAAAATACTAAAAAGAATTGAGAAAGTAGATAGCGAAACAATGTTCAAATTACAGGAACACTAAAACGAGAGGATATAATTGGAAACTGGAAACATAGATGAGTCACAAGGATGTCGAAAAGAACTTGTTAAGTGTTAAGACGTAAAGAAGTGAAACGGACCTGACGAGGAAGTTCCAAAGTAAATAAGGAAGTCCTTATCAAAGTAAATATGATAAGAATAGCGGGTGAAAAGTGTCTTGACATTGAACCGAGGAACTATATATGAAATGCGTGACCGTGTAAGCACAACTTGGTGAGTACAACTAAATGAGAACATATACACACACAGCACTCAGGGGTCCTAGTCCAAATGACCCGGGTTCGATTTTAGGCATCTGCGGAAACAAATGAGCAGAGTTTCTTTCACCCTGATGCATTTGTTCACCTAGCAGTAAATAGGTACCTGGTAGTTAGACAGCTGCTACGGGCTGCTTCCTGGGGATGTGTGCGTGTGTTAGACAGAAATTTGTGAAGTAGACTTAATAGAGGAAAAATGTATTAGCTAGAAAGGCGGGAGCCAAGAGCTAAATAGCTCGATTCTGCAGATACAAATAATAAATAGCAAATAGTAAACACACACACACACACACACACACACACACACACACACACACACACACACACATATACATACAAGCGGACAGGGGCCTGGTAGCCTGGTGGATAGCGCGCAGGACTCGTAATTCTGTAGCGCGGGTTCGATTCCCGCACCAGGCAGAAACAAATGGGCAAAGTTTCTTTCACCCTGAATGCCCCTGTTACCTAGCAGTAAAGAGGTACCTGGGAGTTAGTCAGCTGTCACGGGCTGTTTCTTGGTGTGAGTGTCTGTGGTGTGGAGAAAAAAAAGTTAGTAAACATTTGATTGACAGTAGAGAGGCGGGCCGAAAGAGTAAAGCTCAACCCCCGCAAATACAACTAGGTGAATACTAGGTGAATACACATTACACACACATCACACACAAGGGTAGGGGTAGGGAGCAGGAGACCAGATACAAGGTATAATTTGGGAGAGGAAATATTTCAAGAATCAGAGAGAAAGACCTGGGGGTTGATATCACGCCAGACCTGCCCCTTGAAGTCTACATTAAGAGGATAACGGCAGCAGCATATGCCAGGTTGGCTAACATAAGAACGGCCTTTAGAAACTTATGTAAGGAATCTTTCAGAACATTATATACCACATATGTCAGACCAATCCTGGAGTATGCGACTCCAGCATGGAGTCCATATCTAGTCAAGGATAAGACCAAACTGGAAAAGGTTCAAAGGTTTGCCACCAGACTAGTACCCGAGCTGAGAGGTATGAGCTACGAGGAGAAACTACGGGAATTAAACCTCACTTCGTTGGAAGACAGAAGAGTTAGGACATGATCACCACATTCAAGATTCTCAAGGGAATCGATAGAGTAGATAAAGACAGGCTATTTAACACAAGGGGCACACGTACTAGGGGACACAGGTGGAAACTGAGTGTCCAAATGAGCAACAGAGATATTAGAAAGAACTTTTTTAGTGTCAGAGTAGTTGACAAATGGAATGCATTAGGAAGTGATGTGGTGGAGGCTGACTCCATACACAGTTTCAAGTGTAGGTATGATAGAGCCCAGTAGGCTCAGGAACCTGTACACCTGTTGATTGACGGTTGAGAGGCGGGACCAAAGAGCCAGAGCTCAACTCCCGCAAGCATAATTAGGTGAGTACAATTAGTTGAGAACATAGTTGATTGACAGTTGATATATATCTCCAGGTTATCTTGAGATGATTTCGGGGCTTAGCATCCCCACGGCCCGGTCCTCGACCAGGCCGCCTTTTTTGTTACACACCCCCAAGATGCAGCCCTTAGCAGCTGTATAACTCCCAGGTACCTATTTACTTTTAGATGAACAGGGGCATCAGGGTGAAATAAACTCTGCCCATTTGTTTCCGCCTCCACCGGAGATCGTACCCGGAACCTTAGGACTACGAATCCCGAGCACTGCCCACTCAGCCATCAGGCACCCCCTCACAGCCTGATTACATCAGTTGACTGATAGTTGATTACACCAGTTGATTGACAATTGAGAGGTGGGACCAAAGAGCCAGAGCTCAACCCCCGCAAACACAACTAGGTGAACACACACAGCATGTATAACCACCTCGAGGATGAGGGCCTCGTAGCCTGGTGGATAGCGCGCAGGACTCGTAATTCTGTGGCGCGGGTTCGATTCCCGCACGAGGCAGAAACAAATGGGCAAAGTTTCTTTCACCCTGAATGCCCCTGTTACCTAGCAGTAAATAGGTACCTGGGTGTTAGTCAGCTGTCACGGGCTGCTTCCTGGGGGTGGAGGCCTGGTCAAGGACAGGGCCGCGGGGACACTAAAAGCCCCGAAATCAACTCAAGATAACCTCAAGATAACCTCCAGGCTCCAGAATGCCAAATGACCGAGTTTCTGTCGCGAGTTCCAGGAAACCTAAGTATTGTATGAGGGGGGAAGGGGGAGAAGGGGGAGGGGGTTGAGCGGGGCTCCAACTGTTGTGTGGCAGGAGGAAGGTTGTGAGGGGCGACCGGTGGTGGAGAGAGGGGGGAGGGGTAGGAGCTGGAGGTGGGGGATGGGGGAGGGGGAAAGCCGGTAAGGTTGGGGATACCTGGAAGGGTAGAGAGAGTGACTTTCCAGGAAGAACTGGTTCCCTTCCCTCGTGGGAGCACAGAGGGGAAATGAAGAGCGAGATTGGCAGGAATGAAAATTATATGATGACAGTGACATTATAATATATATATATATATATATATATATATATATATATATATATATATATATATAATATATATATATATATATATATATATATATATATATATATATATATATATATATATATATATATATATATATATTAATATTAGTATATTTTAGTAGCAGTCTTTCCTGTAGACATATATTATTAAATATGACCGAAAAAGTAAGATTAATAATTCTAACACGAATTTTCTCAATCTTTCGTACATTTCTTTTCACTGTAGGAGGTAAATGAAAAATCAATTCTCCAAAATTCATTTTATTTCTAGTCTGACGCGACACGAGCGCGTTTCGTAAAACTTATTACATTTTCAAAGACTTTAGTTTACAAATACACAACTGAATAGAAATTACGCATCTCCGATTTTATATCTACATTTTAGTGAGGTGGATGGGGTGAGGTGGCATTAATAGGGTATTAATTTCATCAACACAAGACAGAACAAGAGGTGGCATTAATAGGGTATTAATTTCATCAACACAAGACAGAACACGAAACAATGGGTATTGAATAGAAGTGTATGTAGAAAGCCTATTGGTCCATATTTCTTGATGCTTCTATATTGGAGCGGAGTCTTGAGGTGGGTAGAATATAGTTGTGCATTAATTGGCTGTTGATTGCTGGTGTTGACTTCTTGATGTGTAGTGCCTCGCAAACGTCAAGCCGCCTGCTATCGCTGTATCTATCGATGATTTCTGTGTTGTTTACTAGGATTTCTCTGGCGATGGTTTGGTTGTGGGAAGAGATTATATGTTCCTTAATGGAGCCCTGTTGCTTATGCATCGTTAAACGCCTAGAAAGAGATGTTGTTGTCTTGCCTATATACTGAGTTTTTTGGAGCTTACAGTCCGCAAGAGGGCATTTGAAGGCATAGACGACGTTAGTCTCTTTTAAAGCGTTCTGGTTTGTGTCTGGAGAGTTTCTCATGAGTAGGCTGGCCGTTTTTCTGGTTTTATAGTAAATCGTCAGTTGTATCCTCTGATTTTTGCCTGTAGGGATAACGTTTCTATTAACAATATTTTTCAGAACCCTTTCCTCCGTTTTATGAGCTGTGGAAAAGAAGTTCCTGTAAAATAGTCTAATAGGGGGTATAGGTGTTGTGTTAGTTGTCTCTTCAGAGGTTGCATGGCGTTTCACTTTCCTTCTTATGATGTCTTCGACGAAACCATTGGAGAAGCCGTTGTTGACTAGGACCTGCCTTACCCTACAGAGTTCTTCCAGAATACGTTCAGAGTTCTTCGAACTCTGAACGTATTCTACGAACGTATCGAACGTTCCCTTTACCCATCCATCCAATCGTGCTACAGTGGGGGACTCTAAGCTTCAAAATTGGGAGCATGAAATAGACTTCTGTGAAGGAGTCCAGCAAGATGATCCCTTAATACTCTTCTGCTTAGCTATCAACGAGGTCCCAGATAGTCTGACAAGCGTGCTAAACATCTGGTACCTGGATGATGGCACTCTCGCTGGCACCCCGGATACCATTTTCGAGGATATAAGGAAAATCCAGGAGCAAGGAGCAGCCTTGGGCCTCATTCTCAATGCATCCAAATGCGAAATAGTCTCCCGCAACCCAGACATCAGTAGCCAAATAAAAAATGTTCTTCCAGATATTCTCGTTGACGAGCCACGTGACTGCACCCTCCTGGGTGCCCCCATTGGCCCGCAAGCAATCGAGGAGGTCCTGGATGCAAAAATCACTGATCTAAGGAGAGAGAACCTCGTATCCTAAGGCACCAAAACCCGGAATTCCCCGCACTTCGCCCTGATGGCATCACCATATACTCCTGGAAGGAAGGTCGACAGTTGGTGTGGGACGACACATATGTATCCACCCTGGCTGACACCTACGTACACCTCGGAGCTGATCAAGCAGGTAGGGGGGCCAACCACAGGGAAATAGCAAAATCAGCCAAATACAGGCGATTAGAAGGTCGATACACCTTTGTTCCCATAGCGTCTGAGACGCATGGGAATTGCGTCTCAGACGTTATGTTCCCATAGCGTCTGAGACGCAATTCAATTTCTCAGTGAATTGGGCTCCAAGCTCATTGACGTCACCAGAGCCCCAAGAGCTGCCAGTTTTTTGTTTCA